AAAAAAATACTTTGACATAGAGCTCCTCAATAACACAAATATTCCAATGTCTCCAAAAGCAATGGAACAGCAGTCACATCATGCAGCCCCTTATAAGCGATAAAGTGGATGGACATTAGCTCTCCCTGTAAACTTAAAGGGAGATCAATAAAGCAAAAAGAGAATTCTTTGAAGATTTAACAGCATGGGACAGAAAAAATGCAGCTTTTTCAGAAATTATTTTCATTGGAGCAGAGCTTCCCAAACTACCTGTTTTTTGTTTTTTGTTTTTTTTTTTAGACAGAGTCTAGCTCTGTCACCAGCTGGAGTGCAGTGGTATGATCTTGGCTCACTGAAACCTCCACCTCCCAGGTTCAAGTGATTCTCCTGCTTTAGCCTCCTGAGTAGCTGGGACTCCAGGTGCGCACCACCATACCCAGCTAATTTTTGTATTTTTAGTAGAGACAGGGTTTCACCATGCTGGCCAGCATGATCTCGATCTCCTCACCTCATGATCCACCCGCCTCAGCCTCTCAAAGTGCTTGGATTACAGCCGTTAGCCACTGCACCTGGCCCCAAACCACATTTTAAGGCCTGGCTTCCTTCTTGACCTTTGGTCCCCTTGCCTGTGTCCTCTGCTTCATTCACTCTCACCTACCTGGGGGTCTGGCTACGATCTTACGTATCTTCACATTGTAGGGCTCTTTTCTTTGTTCCAGGCAGGTGACCAGGTCTGGGTTAGAGATAGCAACACCTGTTTTATTAAAAAAAAATAAGAATAACATGAATATTGATTGGGATTCTCCAATTACCAACCTAGTATTATGCTAAGCAGAATAGAGAGATATTATGGAAGATTCTAGAAAATTAATCCAAAAATTGTTTCCTGACAGAATCTTTAGAATATTTAAGTATTTTAAATCTGCAGATTCCAAGTTCCACTACCCAGTACTACTGAATAAAAAATAACTAGTGCAAATAGGATTTTAAGATGTGGGAAACAATATTTCATGTCCTTGAATTTCTAGAATTACCACTAATCTAGAGTGAAGGACTCAAATTAGCTCAAGAAAAGAGAAGGTTTATGTAAAGATAAAACATAAAAGTTTCCAGGAGAAATTTTTCAAAGGAATAAAATAAAGCTCTGAGATGAATTAAGAATTATGTATTAAAGTTATCCTCACCCACGGAGACCAGGTTCCTGTAGTTCTCCAACATCACATCTCTATACAAATTCTGCTGGGCAGGGTCCAGGCATTTCCACTCTTCTGGAGAGAATTCTATGGCCACATCCCTGAATGTTAAGAGTTCCTGAAAATATATACGTATCAAGTGACAGAGGTCTTAATTCGACTACAGGTGAAATGAGTTAAGAGAGCTAGTTCTGACATGTGACTGACTGGGATTATCTGACAAAATAACTTTCAACACAATAATGTTCTCTAAAGTATTCTATAGCTCTGCAGAAAAAGGAAGGCATTCCAACAGTTTCTGTTGCTGCAATAAAAATAATGGGCTACACTGACACGCCCCTACCAAAACCAAGCAGAGTAGGCCCTGTGACCTCCTGGAACAAAGGGTGAACTCACCTTTCAGTAAAGTATCTGGAAGCCCTCATGTGTGACCCTGGCCTCACTGTAGAATCATGCAAGGAACTGAATTTTAAAAATAAGGATGTTTTCACCCAGAAAAATAGACAGGATCTGTGAAGAGTGCACAGCTGATAGTTTCTCTTCAAACTGTCCATGTGATCCTACTGGAAGACTGGGCTGAGGGTCACTGAGCTAAGCACTGCCTCTCAAGCTTCAATGTACATATAAATTATTTGATATTCTAGGTGTCACTGTAAGTAACAAAATTCTGCAGGTTTGAAAAGGGTCCATGAATTAGCTTTTTACAGCAAGTCTCCTGTTAATGTTGATGCTCCTCTCTCTAGACCCATTATAGTACCACTCAGTTAGAGAAAGCAGACACAGCACACAGAGTCCCTTACCCCAACACCGTTATCACAACACAAATACTTTTTATCCCAAGACAAGACCACCAATCATCATTCTGAAACATGGCATTCTCTGTAGACCCCGTAAGGTTACAGAAGTTGGAAATGGTGGCAATGTCTGAGTTAAGTCTGCATCTGAAAAACAACATGTGCACCTGCATTAATGCCATCTTTATGGGGCATGTAATATGTGCTCAGACGTATGTCACAGAGCACTGTGATGGGAAGCTCACATTATGTGTGTTAATTCTCATAACATTCTGGGAGGTAGACACTAAGTGTCCCACACTTCCCAGATTTAAATGCAGGGCCCAGAATTTCCATTTCCTTTCTGTTTCCCCTGACTGATTTTTTTTCAATGTATAGAATAATAGCTAAATATAGATAGATGGGAGAGAGCCAGAAAGAAAGTGTTAAGTACAATTCAGAGGAATTTTTTATTTTTGTGTTTGTATTTACTTGGAGACTTGTAAGAAAAAGCCACTGAAACTGCAGGGATGAAGAACAGGTTGCTACGTGGGATGTTTCTAGAAACACTAGTTTTAATTTTATAGAAAAGATTTAAGGCCTCAAGGTAAATAGTTTTTCCCTATTTATTGGCTTTTGGGTTTCAGAAAATTGTGGGCACCAGCTCTGGAGAGAAGGTAGGAGTAGCCACCCGAAACTCTGATCTCCTCTACTAATCAGTTCTGTGAGAGATTTCAGTGTGGCCTCAGACCTGGACGAGGACCAGAAGAGGGAGGATCTCAGCAGGGATGGGACAGAAAGTGGGCCCTAGGCTTCTGCTCTCTATGTCACTAAGTACTTTCGTTTTGTCTTTTCTAAGCCTGCCCAAGACAAATTTGATGCCCAGAATTTGTGAAATTTTAATCTATTTTAGCCACTTCTCTGTCTTTTGTATAACATACAGTAACAAGGAATTTAACGAAAATCCTTATGCTTCTCTAGAGCAATTATATTAGAAGTTAAATATTTACTCTTAGCAAGGTAAACACAATACAAATAATAACAATTTCTCTTCTGTCAATGAATAGCCATTCACGTAGTGGCATCAAAACTCATAAAACAGACTGGGTGCGGTGGCTCACGCCTGTAATCCCAGCACTTTGGGAAGCTGAGATGGGTGGATCACAAGGTCAGGAGTTCGAGACCAGCCTGGCCAATATGGTGAAACCCCATCTCTACTAAAAATACAAAAAAAATTAGCCGACGTGGTGGAGGGCGCCTATAGTCCCAGCTACTCATGAGGTTGAGGCAGGAGAATTGCTTGAACTGGGGAGGTGGAGGTTGCAGTGAGCCGGGATAGCACCACTGCACTCCAGCCTGGGTGACAGAGAGATACTGTCTATTAAAAAAACAAAAAAACAAAAAAACAAAAAAACAAAAACCTCACAAACACAGTAAAGGGGAAGTAGCCCAAAGGAAGCTTAAGTTGCCTGTACAGTTTCCATCTTTGTACTGAACACATGATGCTGAATTCAACCATTTATTCATGTGCTCTAGACTGCAAGTTTGATGGTAGCAACCATCACTGCTTCATGCCTTTTTCTAATGAACATCTGAAATAGAAGCAATTAGCTTATTGATCAGTTTGAGTCTTCAGAGCTCCTCATTTTTCACCAATACCAGAAAACTGGAGCAACTCTTATCTGGGTACAAACCAAGGGGATTCTTTCTGTGAGGGGAGGAACAAACCCTGGATGAATCATTTCTCTTTCTCTGAAATGGAAGCAGAATCAGACCTTGGGGTCAGACTGACCCCAGTCTGCAAAGGACATCGTCAAATGTCTCAAATACTCACAGATGCTGGTGAGAGTGTCCCTAGCGACCCTGGGCAGATGCTGCCCCCATAGTGATCCAGGCAGAAGAGACAGACTGACTTTGTGGAGTGCAAACAGAAAATGGAACAGCCTTGGTGGAGCTGCAGATCCTGGATCCAGATGTGAAAGCCCTGTCCCTTTTCAACTAACTCTAAGGCAAGGGGAAGGACAAAAGCACTCTACTCCAATAACACAGTCTACAGGGAGGCATAGTTGTGACTATGGCTCTGGAGATTTTGTGGCCCTGAGCTCCCACTGCTAAAGTGCTTGTTTACACTTACAGAATCTGCCACAGGATTCTGTTTACACCAGAAGTCTCGCACACAGCTATACCAGGTAATTGGAGAAGATCTGGAAAACTCAAAGGGCTCCACTCTGAAAGTGGGGCTTATGATGTCTATGTTGACCTCTCGTGATGCAGAAAATGCCTTCTGTGAGTTTTCTGTATGTCTTTCACCCAAAGTCTGGCCCAGTCTTGGGAATCCTAGGCAGAGGCCAGCTTTTATGTGCAGATTCTAGGTAGGATTAATGTGCCTCAGCATTCTTAGGGGTTATAGCAAGCAGAGTAAAACTAGGAGAGATCCCCTCCTGGAGACTCCTTCAACACTTTCTAAAGAGTATTTTGGCCAGGCGCGGTGGCTCACGTCTGTAATCCCAGGACTTTGGGAGGCAGATCACAAGGTCAGGAGTTTGAGGCCAGCCTGGCCAACATGGTGAAACCCCGTCTCTACTACAAAATATAAAAATCAGCTGGGCATGGTGGCATGTGCCTGTTGTCCCAGCAGGAGAATTACTTGAACTTGGGAGGCGGAGGTTGCAGTGAGCCAAGATCGTGCCACTGCACTCCTGCCTGGCGAAAGGGTGAGATTCTGTCTCAAAAACAAACAAACAAACAAACAAACAAACAAAAAAACCATTTTGACCTAAAAGGAAAAAGTTGGGGTAAACATAATATAAGAAGACAGTTTATTTGAGCCAAAGCTTGAAGATTGCAACCCTGGACCATAAAGCTGCCCTGAATATACACTCCAATTAGAAGCCATTACAAGTATATTTTTAAAGGCCAAAAAAAAAGGCACGGGGAACTGACAGAAAGCTGTCAGAAATTCTTACTGGTTTATAGAAGTAACTTTGGTTAGTGATTGGCTATATATGTTGTTAAGCTATAAGGTGTGCGTTATAGTGTCCAGTATGGCATTATTAGGTTAATTTATATCCACTTGTGGCAATAGCAAGTAATTTCAAAAGACAAATAGTTCAAGGAGGGGAACAGTAGGACTGTGGTCTCATTTTAACACATCACTGGTTCTCATAATTAAAAGAACTTGTATTTCTCAAATAAAAGTTCTGTTCTTCTCTCAAATCCCAGGACATAAACTCAGAATTTGGAACTGCACATTTAAGACTTGGAGGGCTGGTAAGCTACGCACATTTGTGGGCATTTGGGCAAGGGGAGAAGGGAGAGAACTGAAGTTCTCAGGTTTAATCAATGCACATGTGTGATCCTGGCTGGATTTATGGGCCCCATGATCTCTGACTCAGTGTCAGAACTGAAGATGCCTGGTGCACTGAAAGAGGTGCAAAAACTGATTGCTATCTTAAAAAGTTATTTTTGTAGAAAACTAGTCTAACTGCTATAGAAGGGACTACAGATCCCAAATAGAGAGATCATTTCGTTTGCAGCTTTGGGGAGCACTTTGCTGCACTTTGTCACACAATTGTGGGTTGTGACCGTAATCCTGAGAAAGAAGATTTTTCTCTAAGATGAAGCCCGGTGGGCACTTTTTGTGTAAGATCTAGTAATTCTTGACAGTGTGTGGAAAATATAACTAACAGCAAAATCATCTACAATCCTAAAATACTCTCCACAAAAATAGAACTGCAAGAAAGTGTGTTATAGAATTAAACAAAATGTGATGTGCATTACAGGCAATCTACTAAGAGATTTCCAAAACAAAGAGAGACACCCTAATTAGCTCTCAAGTAGAAGACTTGACAGTACCATGTATCATACACAGTTTATTACACTTTCACTAGTAATGTGGGAGGTCATCTGGGTTTTCTAATTGGTAATATTCAAAGGGAAAATAAACTTCCCACAGCTTAGTGACAGAAGGCAGATTTTGAAACGTGAAGGCAGGTACCTGCTGAAAGTAACCTCTTACTCTTCTACAGAAATTGTGGAATAAGGTGTATATTCTTGCTATTCATATTTCAAAGCAATAGTTCCATGTCCTAGATAAAGACAATTTTGAGTCAAAAAAGACAAATCACCTAGTTAACAGATTAAAATGATTTATATATATTTCAAATAAGCAGAGAAAATATTTAAATATAAAAATTTTCGCCGGGCGCGGTGGCTCACGCCTGTAATCCCAGCACTTTGGGAGGCCGAGATGGGTGGACCACGAGGTCAGGAGATCGAGACCGTCCTGGCTAACACGGTGAAACCCCGTTTCTACCAAAAAAATACAAAAATTAGCCCGGCGCGG